GTGTCGTAATGAGACAACAAATTCTTTCTTAAGGAATTTGGTGGCCAAATGGACCTCACAAAATACTGGGCAGAATCAATTCTGCGTAGGATGAAGTTTGTTAAACGAAGAGATTCAACAAAAGTCCATGTACTTGGTGACACCTTTTAACATTTAAAACGAAATTTCCTTTCCGATATAAAGACGACGGTGGTAATGGAGGATATTCCTAGTCAATTGATTATAAATTGGGACCAGACAGGAATATCTATTGTGCCTGGGTCATCCTGGACTATGGCTCCATCTGGTTTGAGATGCATAGAAATTGTGGGATTGGGTGATAAGAGACAAATCACCGCAGTATTTGGAGCGTCACTCAGTGGAGATTTTTTACCACCCCAATTAATTTATACTGGAAAACTCCAGCTTGTCACCCAAACGGTGTCACTTTCCCAGCAGACTGGCACATTACCCACACTGAAAACCACTGGGCAAATGAAAGCACAATGAAGGACTACATTACTAAAGTCATTGTGCCATACATTGAGAAGATTAGGTCCCAATTACCACAAAGCCATGTCGCATCTCCACAGCCAGCCTTGGTCATTTTTGATGTTTTTAAAGGTCAGATGTGCCAGTCTACCATTGACCTCTTAATGGAAAATAACATCCATTTTGTACACATACCACCAAATTGCACCAATAGGCTACAACCATTCGACATATCAGTGAACAAACCTTGCAAGGACTTCATGAGGAACAAGTTCATTGAGTGGTACTCACTTAAAGTATGTGAAGCCCTTGAAAACACTGAAAACCCTAGCCCTACATTAGACCTAAAGCTTTCTACCATGGAGGCTTTTGGGGCACAATGGCTTCAGTTGTTTTATGACTACATGCAAGCCAATCCAGATATAATTAAAAATGGGTTCATATCAGCAGGGATTACAGACGTATGTGTTACATAATGATGTATTATACATGTATATGTAGAGGCATACAAATTTATACATGTACATGTACTTGATCACTTGATCATGATGGTCGTTTGGGAAAGTCAGAGATAATTATTACAGTATACTAATATCAAAACCACAAAGGTGTTGTGGTACATAGTATGAAAAATTATAAAACTCTTGGTTCTATTCATTATAATGGAATGGAGATTGGGGATGGAAGGTGGGCCCAGAAGTAAAATCTCAATCATTGAGTGGAGATTCCTAATAGCATATAAATTTAATGTGTTTATGTACAGTACATGTAATTATTGTGTTTATAAGGTGTGTTATGTGTGATGGGATTGTATGATTTACGTATTTGTATTAATGTCTTAGACTAGATGTGTGTATAATGTATGTACATGTATTTCTCTCTCTCTTTGAACAAATCACGCTATTCGGAGTGATGATAAGATCAATATTAATCACGCTCTTTGGAGTGATGATACAAGATCAATAGTAATCACACTCTTTGGAGTGATGATAAGATCAATATTAATCACGCTCTTCGGAGTGATGATAAGATCAATATTAATCACGCTCTTTGGAGTGATGATACAAGATCAATATTAATCACGCTCTTCGGAGTGATGATACAAGATCAATATTAATCACGCTCTTTGGAGTGATGATACAAGATCAATATTAATCACACTCTTTGGAGTGATGATACAAGATCAATATTAATCACGCTCTTCGGAGTGATGATACAAGATCAATATTAATCACGCTCTTTGGAGTGATGATAAGATCAATATTAATCACGCTCTTCGGAGTGATGATACAAGATCAATATTAATCACACTCTTTGGAGTGATGATACAAGATCAATAGTAATCACACTCTTTGGAGTGATGATACAAGATCAACTTATTTTATGTATTATGTTTTATATGTATAATGTATGATGATGTGTGTGAATTGTACTGTATAGCTAGAAAATTTGAAGTGTTAAAGGCTTTTAACAATTATACATGCTGCTGCTGCTAAATTTTTGGCAATGGACCTCGATTTGACATGCCTTTGTGAAGTATGCATATTGCCCACAGCTTTGTTAGCCAGTAAAGACAATGTATTCTACCAAATTCACCAAAATGTTACTCCAAATTTTCTAGTTATACTGTTAAAGTAGTTTATTATTTGTTCAATACATAATAATAAATAATGTCATTAAAAATATACTATAGTACAGAACTAAAAATATGGCTTAAAAATATGGCTTAAAAAACATGGTTTAAAATAATGATAATAATAATAATGTACATGTACAGTAGTAATAAATAAAATTAATAAATAAATAGGCCTATTTTAAACTTAATATCTATATCTGTAATTACGTCTATTACTATTATTTATAATAAAACTAAGTATTTCGAGGAGCAGTTCCAAATCATTTGCAGTGCGGGTGTCTCCTCTCCACCGGCCTCGTTGGCTCCAAAATCCCCTCCCTCTTCCTTGTCCTCTTCCTCTCCACCTTCCACGACCTAGTCCTCGTCCACCTCTCCTACTTCCTCCTCTTCCACCTCCCCTGCTTTCTCCTCTTCCACCTCCCCTGCTTTCTCCTCTTCCACCTCCCCTACCTTGTCCAACTCCCCTGCTTTCTCCTCTTCCACCTCCCCTACCTTGTCCCGCAACTCCCCTGCCTCTTCCCCGTCCCCGGTGTGGCTCTACAGCTCCTCCGTTAGCTTGGTCGTCATCGCCACCACCTACATCATTGTGATGACGACCAACTTCACCACCTCTTCCTGCATCTCCACCACCCCGGGGAGGAGAACCACCTTGACCACGAGGAGGCTGATGAGCAGGTGGCGGTGGCAAATTGGCAGAATTGCCATCTCTTTGTGGAGAATCCTCCATCTCATCCTGTACAAGTAAAGAAATGTAACTTAAGAAGTAAGCTTCAAAAGAAATACTTACATCCAAAAGGAGATTTATCTCAGACTCTCTTTCCCCAAAACCTTCAGCCATTTTTATTAAAAATATAATTGCGCCAAAAATTAAAACATTTACATTATTTATTATTATTATTACAGGACTTAACAGTACATCGGTGCTATAAAGAGCAATAGGCAGGAGAACTAAGGAGTGGAGAATGAAGCCTTGTTTAGGGACAGTTCTGACACCCAAAAATACAATTAATAAAAAGTAGTAATTGTTTTTATTAATTAAAATAATTATTTTTATTGAATGAAATTACGGCATATACAGTGATTGTATAGATGTATCAAATAATATTAATTTAATTATGTGCCATAATCTATATACATAATGTCATCACTCCGAAGAGCAAGATTCTATTGATCTTTTATCATCACTCCGAAGAGTAAGATTCTATTGATCTTGTATCATCACTCCGAAGAGCGTGATTAATATGATCTTTTATTATCACTCCGAAGAGCGTGATTACTATTGATCT